AAGTTGCAGATATATGGTAATTATATTGTATTTGGTTACATTTGGGGGCATATACTCCACCTAAGGGAGGCAGATCTAATCACATGTGACTATCCCTTGACAAGTAGAGTAGTATTTGGCCAAACATCCAGGAATCAGTATCTACCAAGGTAATACATAAAGTTAACCATCATAGACCATTCACTAGAGGTAGAAGTTCTCAATGGTTTTAGTGTTGAGTACTGTCTGGATTTTAAAGTACAGGTAATTTTTGTGCTATTTAAACTATTGTAGACAATGAGAGTAAGATGGAAACTCCTCCATTTATTTATGATGTTGATAAAAGATAAAACAAAAAAGAAAATGATAAACCACTTTTATTTAGAGATAAAGACACAGAAGTTCTACATAAAATAATAGCAAATTGAGTTCAGTAGAGTTTAAAATTATAGTTCAGCATCAGGAAGTATATCAACACATAGTTCATTGTATCAGTAATTAATTAATGATAGATAAACTATCCACAGTTGATGAAAATGAATACATCTCTCCACAGTTGTTGAAAAGATACTTCCTAAAAATTCAGCAATCATTGTTAATTTTTACAAATCTTCCTTAAATATGAATAGAAGTAAATATTTAACCATGATAGAATCTTTCAAAATTAAAGTGCTGAAATCATAGTACAGTATCAGGGACAAGGCATGGATTGTGATTGTTGTCACATTATTCCATACTGTTGTGAGGAATGTAATGAATAAGAAAATAAAAGGGAACTGTCAGAAACCATATTGGAAAAGACAAAATTATCTTTATTTGTAGATGGCATTGTTGTAGTTTTAAAAACCAAGAAAACATTAAACAAAAAAGAAAAAGACTAATGATAGTCAATTCATAAAGTTTTGTTCAGCTTATTTTATCCTTGTTTATATATAAATTTGGTCTGTTTTTCTCTTACTGAGCTGTCTTTTCAGCTGTTGTTGGGAAGACTTAATAGTAGCTTCATAAAATTGAACAGTTTTTATTTTTCCCCATTGTCCAGAATAGTTTAAACTTTTCTTTGCCATTGTATTTTACAGTCTGACAAATACAGATCCTGTAAGAAACAGTACTTTTTAATATTTCTTTAGGCAAATCTGAAGTTTCCTAAAAAGAACTTTTGTCTCATATTTTAGAGGGGTTCTCTAGAAGGTTTTGAGATGTAGAGACGAGAGAATTCTTGGATCTGACCCTTACTCACAGCCTCCATCTCCCTGTGGGTTCCTGTAAAATGGGATTATTAATACGTTTCTTTTACGTTGCCTATAGGAGTGATAATACATTGACAATCACTTGTTTCTCTGTGGTGGTGTTTTAGTTGCTTCTCACCTCCAATGCATAGCAGTGTTCAACTGGGCTGACATCCCAAGAGACCCCAAAAGGAGAAATAAGCTTAAGTTAGAAAGTTTTAGAAAGTATTAATTATAACAAATGTTATATAACCTTCTGAGCATTAATGGCACAGTGGATTAGGCATTGAACTACTAATAACAAGTTTGGTGGTTCAAACCTAACATCTACTCCTAGGGAGAAAGATGAGGCTTGTCTGCACCCATAAAGATTTACAGTCCCTGGTGGTTTGTTTTTTTTTGAGGTTACATAATTGTTGTTGTTGTAAAGTGCTGTTCAATTGGTTCTGATCCATAGTGACCCTGTGTAGGTTTTTAAGGAGTGGCTGGTGAGCTTGAACAGCCGTCCTTGCGATGTAAACCAACTTTAAGTCCAGTGCATTAACCCACAGTGCTACACCAGGACTCCAATTTATTATTATACATTAGTAATTCCAGAACCCCTGGTGTGGTGCTCTTGGATAGACACTGGACTGCTAACTGAAAGGTTGGCAGTTCAACTACAGCACCTTGGAAACTATTCAGGGTTGCTGTGTGTTATAACCAACTTGATGGAGCTAAATAACAACACCACAATTTAGGAACAGAAATGGAATTTGACTGTATTTGAATCTGTACTTTGTAATTTACTAACTATGTGGCTTTGGGCAGGGTACCTCAGTGTTCATGCCTCAGTTTTATATCTATAAAATGGGATTATTAGTATGTTTCTTATATGTTGTCAAGAGGATTAAATAAATTCATTCTCAGGTGGTGCCCCTCTTATAGTGAACACTTGGTATTAGGTATGAACTTTATTTTTACCTTTTTCAGCATGTAGCTTAGTGTCTGAACAAAGAAGGTACTTACGAGTAGTTTCAATTACTCACATGATTGTATTTCTATATGTGTGTGTAGGTATACAGTGCTTATGTGTGTGTAGGTATACAGTGCTTATGAATTCAGTCACTTATTAATTTAGATGATTATTGTTGTAATGCTCCATAACATTTTAAAGCAACCTTAGTTTAAGTTAACAGCTGTATTGTCATTTAACAAATTACTGATACTTAACAAAGTGTGTTAAAATTTCCAGCTTTTTTGTGCCACAATAAATTATCAGTGAGCAAGGCATGCACCTTCTTGTTTTCACAGAAGCTTTTCTTACCTTCTGGAACATGGTTGATGCGCTAGGATTCATCTGACAGTTTGTCCTCTTGTCTCTGCAGGCCTTGTGTAGAATTACCCGCCATTCACCTGCTGCCTTCCAGAACGTGATTGAGAAGGTGGGCTTGAACCTGGTGTTAAATTCCCTGGCCTCTGCCATCTGCAAAGTCCAGCAGTACATGTTGACCTTATTCACTGCTATGTTGTCCTGTGGAATTCATCTTCAAAGACTTATCCAGGAAAAGGTAAGATTTCACCTTGCTACGCTCTTTAGAACAAAATGCCCTCCAAAGTGTTTTACTAATTATTGTCATTTCTAAAATTGACTTTTATCTCAGTGTGCTTTTTTTGAACTTTGGCAAACCTCTCTGCTGAGCATTCATGTGAAACAAGAATCTCTTATTTATAAGTGATTAAAATAAAAGTCTTGCTAACAACTTCTGCCTGCTTATCTTCATTCTTACAGTGTGAATTTAGAAATTTAGTAAGTCTTTCCTGTGTGCTAGCATCATCACCCTCAGCTCCTTTCTCATTTTTTTTAATGTATTTTTCTTTCCTTAGGGAGGGGTCCCTTCATGTATTCTGCTTATTCTGACCCATATGTATTACTTTCTCTGTCTAATGCTTTTCCAATCCATATTATCTTAAAAGCCCTATTTCTCTTGTATTTAAGTTAGTCACCTTCTAATATTCTGATAATCTTTTATTTGGTATAGAATAGCATTCTTTTCATTTTAAGTTTTATTGTGAATTGTGTGATATTTTACATGGGAGGACATTGGTTTCACACTCATCATTTCATTGCAATGATTACAATCTCCTCTGTGCATTCAGCAGTATTTGCTTCTATTCCCTCTGGTTTTTTTGAGGGGAGGGAGGGCGTGAGGAACACAAAAACACTCAGGAATATACAGTCACTTAAACAACTAAAGGGCACATTCTGTAAGCCTGTCTCCTGACTGTCAGCATTCAGTCCCTCTCTTTCCATGAATCTAGGCTCAGCTGCTCTCTCTCTCCACAGCCTCATCTCTGCCTCCATCTCCAGTGTTGCTGCTTCTCTGGATAGGGTCCCACATTCTGCTCATGCTCTTCTACTTCAATGATCATGGTCCTCTGTTCCTGGACTGTAAGATTAACTAGACCCCCTGTTTTATTACAAAATTTCTACTTTTACAGTTTTGACAGTCGCATTTAGTCATGGTAACAATTACTCACTATTGAATTGTAAGATTCTTATCCTCATCTCTTTTCACCAGACCCATCTAGACAAGATGAAAACTAGAATAGCATTTTTAAGTATTAAAGTTCTGTCGTTTCAAGACTGTATAGAACTAAAGGAGGCTCTATAATAGCTTTCCTCAAAGTGTCTTCTCTAGTCCCAGCTCAACAGTGACTACTGGACCATCAGCACTGGCAGCACCTGGGACTATCAGAAATGCAGAATCTCAGGCCTCACCGCAGACCTGCTGAATCAGAACTTGTATTTTAATAGGATCGCCAAGTGATTTGTTTAAATTTTAAGGTGTGAGAAGCTCTGTCCTAAAATATTAGGGTCCAGAGAGGTATAAAAAAGTGAACCATGGTTATATACGTTTATAAGTTTGGGAAGCAATGGGACAAAGTTGCATAAATCCATTCAGCTTCTCTTATGCTACTGGAAGGAATGCATAGATCACTCTACCAAAAAGAACTAACTGGTTATTGGTTAACAATTTCAAGAGGTAGCATGTGACAAACAACCAGTGGTACTGAAGGAAGAAGTCCAAGCTGCACTGAAGGTATTGGCAAAAAACAAGGCTCCAGGAATTGGCAGAATACAAACTGAAATGTTTCAACTAACTGATGCAGCGCTGGCGGTCCTCGCTCATCTATGCCAAGAAATTTGAAAGACATCCATATCTGTGGTCATCCAAAGAAAGGTGACCCAACAGAATGTGGAATCATTGAACAATATCACTAATATCTCCTACAAGTAAAATGTTACTGAAGATAATTTTAAAAACACTTGCCGCAATACATTGACAAAGAGTTTCTAGAAATTTAATTTGGATTCAGATGTGGGCATGAAATGAAGGAAATCGTTGCTAACATCAGATGGGTCTTAGCTGAAAGCAGAGGATACCAGGAAGGTGTTTACTTTTGCTTTAATGACCATGCAGAGGGATTCGATTGTGTGAATCATAACCAGCTGTGCATAAGACGGTGAAGCCTGGGTGTGTTCCAGAACACATTGTTGTGCTCATGAGCAGCCTCTACATAAACCAAGAGAAAGTCATTCAAACAGAACTGGAAAATACTGAATAGTGTAAAATCAGGAAAGGTATGTGATAGGGTTGTATTCTTTCACCATACTTACTCAGTCTGTATGTTGAGCAGATGATCTGAGAAGCTGAATTTTGTAATGAAGAATGTGATATTAGGATTGGAGGAATACTCATCAGCAACCTATCATATGCAGATGACACAACCTTACTTTCTGGAAGCAAAGAGTACTTGAAGTACTTAACTGATGAAGACCAAAAACTATGTAGTCTACAACATGGATTTCATTCTTAATGTAAAGAACATGAAAATCTTCTCAACTGGACCAATAAACAAAATAACATCATGATAAATGGAATAAAGATTGAATATGTCAAATACTTACATTTACTTGGATCCACAATCAACTTTGATGGAAGTAACAGTCAAGAAATTAAAGGTGATGTGACGTGGGAGAAGGCATGAAAAAACACTCAAATTTGCAGAGTATACCCATTTGGCCCATGTTGGATGGCTTGCTGATTAGAACTTGACTAGAGGAAGATACAAGAAGACAGTGTAAACTGCTACAATTTGATGAACTTTACCTTTGCTTATGGATATAGTTGCTCAAAATCCCAACAGAAAGTTAGAAGTCTTCACATCAAGGTTAAAGCCTATCCCCTCATTACACACAGTTAATAGAAAAGGACAACTTATACATTGGCTACTATTTTTGCTCTAATCTTTATTCTTTCTTTTCTTTTGGTGACCGTAGGTTTACATTGCTGATCTTTTCCTAATTGAGTTGTGTTAATGTTTGATTTGGCCCTTTCTTTTTGGATGTGTATATTTACTGTAATAAATTGTCCTTTTTAAAGTATTAAAGAGCCAAGATGTCATCCTGAGTACCCAAGCCATGGTATTTTCAATCACCTCATATATAGGCAAAAAATATAATGAATAGGGAAGACCAGGGAAGAATCAATGCATTTGAGTTATGGTGTTGGATAAGAGTGTTGAAAGTATCATGGACTGCTAGAAGAGTGAACAATTCTCTCTCTCTCTCTTTTTTTTTCCCCAGTTAATACATAAACGACTTTATTCCAAACAAAAAGTGGTTAGACGGGTCTCTGATCAGTGATTGGCTATGGATAAGTTCCCTCAGTAATACACATGTCTTTGTCTCACTAGGGTGTCTGCCCAAAAAAGGGCATAGAAAAAAATTTTGAGTTCAGAGTAAATAGCAACTTTTTTAGCAAGACTGCAGTGAATATCTTTCACTTTTTATTGGAGCTTTTTAGCAAGTTTACAGGAATGCTGCCTCATATAAAACAGCAGTGTTACATGGATCAAGCATTTTAATGAAGGTTGAGAAGACCTCAAAGGTGAGGAAGGTCATCAACCTTGATGAATGGAAAAACTGTGACTAAAGTGCAGAAACTGGTGGAAGTGAACAATTCTCTCTTGTAAGAAGTACAATGAGAATGCTTCTTAGAAGCAAGGTAGGTGAGACTTTGTTTCTTGTACTTTGGACATGTCTGCAAGGACCTGTCCATGGAGAATGATACCATGCTTAAAAAAGTGGGAGGTTAGCAAACGAGAGGGAGGCCCCAGACAAGATGAATGGGACACCATGGCTGCACTCATAGACTCAAATATAACAACAGTTGTGAGGATGGCACAGAACCAGGCAGTGCTTTGTTCTGTTGCACATAGGGCCACTCGAGTTGGAAGCAACTCGAGGCACACAACAACAACAACAACAACAACAACTGGAGGTCTTGGGAAGCAGAGGGGAAAAGTGGAGGGTCAAGGACAAAGAGAAAGACCCTCAGTGAGATGGATTGGCACAGTGCCATCAACAAACAAAATAACTTGGGCTCAAACATAACAATTATGAGGCTGGCACAGGACTAGCCAGCATTTTGTTCTTTTGTCCACTGGGTTGCTATGAGTTGGAACTGACTTGATGACATCTAACAACAACAACAATAACAGTGTGTATTGTGAATTTTTATTAGGATACTGTAGTGTGAACAATCGTTTAAGCTTACTTTATTTTTGGGGAAAGAGCATCCTTCAAATGTAAACTTCCAAAACTATGGTAAAGAAAGTGTTGCTGAGGACTGTAGAATGGAACCACTTAAATAAAATATTTGCCAGAGCATCAAGTGTCACACCTTGTTGTTTTTTTAAAATAATAAATGTTAAAATGTAAATGTTATTAATAATTGCCAGGTTTACATACTAATTTTAATCTGTAAAAGTACAAATGGAGTATATGGCATGTGCTGCATTTACTTTATTTAATCTAATTAATCTCCAGCTGAGAATTTTCAATCTTAGAACAAATTTACCTTCTGCTTCAATAATATCAATAATATGTTTATCTTTTTTTTTTTAATGTTTTATTGTGAATTATGTGATAGTTTACATGGGAGAACATTTGCTTTAAATTCATCCTATAGTACATTATTTCATTGCCTTGGTTACAATCCCCTCCATGCATCATCAACCAACCAAAGGGTATACCCTACAAGCCTGTCCCCGGTCATCAGCACACAGACCCTCTCGCTGTCTGGGTCTGGAGTCCCCAGCCGTTCCATCTCTCCACATCATCGTATCTGCCTCCATCTCTGCACTCCGCTCTTCTCCCTTGATGGTCCCAGGGACCTCTGCTCCTGGACTGCAAAGTCAATCTCTCCCCTCCATTTGCTACAAAACATCCACTTTTACATTTCCAACCCTCACAGTCAGTCCTGATAACAGTTATTCACTACTGTATCACAAGAGACCTATCCACATCTCCTTTCATCAGCCCCACCCAGACAGATTGAATACTACTCAGCGAAGATTCTGCCTTCCTCTGCGCCTGCTTGATCTAGGCTCCCTCTTGAAAGATTGTAAGCGAGTCACTTCTTGCCTTTGTAACACCACCCCCACCCCCTGTTTTGGATAGCCAATGTGCAAGTTGCCCATCCCTGTCTACTCTGTGTATGGA